GTTTTTATTCGTTGCATCAGCGCATTCTACAGCTGGCTATTTAGGTGTTTAACGTGTATGTTGTTTTCAAATCTAAACTTTCACACTATTAAAAGTAAATTAATTAATTAAGACTCACCAATTAAATATAATACACTGTTACGTCAAACTTTGAAAAATTATATTTTTAAATCGTGGTATTTTGTTGCTGGACATACAATAAAATATATTTATCAAATAAATTATATTATACAAATTACAATAGTATATTTTAACAATAATTTAACTTTTGAAAAAAAACTGTATATTAATCATATAAATAAAATAAAAAATAAATAGCTTGTAGTTATCAATTAGCTTACGTTATTTACAACATTGTTTTAAATTAAAAAAAATATAATAAACATATTTTATAAATGACAGATGTAATATAATATAGATAATAATAATTATACCTATACATATTACTCATGATTTTAGAGGTTTATACATATGTTTAAATATAAATGTTTTAATAAATATTTATTAAAATTTAACAGTTTTGCTTGAAAAAATATATTTTTAATTTGATTTCATAGTTAAACTCCATGATTTTAATTTGTTTCTTATATCATGATGAAAATCAAAATTGATGGCTTGTATCTAAAACAAAAACGGACCCTGGCTGTGAAAATCTGTATACTCTAACACAGCGGTTCCCAACCCATGGGCCGCGGCACACGTGTGTGCATGGTACTGGGCCGCGAGCCATAGGTATAATATTAAACATTATATATATATATTATTATATTTCTGATCATAATAACATTCAATAAATTTTAACTATAGTATACAATAAGTGTACAAGTAACAAGTTTTAATCCAGATATTGACTTTCTCGTGAAGAATAAGCAATGTCAAAAATCACATTAAATTGTTTATCTTGTGATAAAGTTGAATTAAGTTTGTTTTTTTTTTAATAAACAATTATTTTTTTTAATTTTTTATTCCTAATAACTATATATATAATATATATAATGTATGACATGTTATGTTATATATTATAATTTTATGAAAACGTATATAGGTATGCTATGGATGGGCCTCAAATATTTTTTTACAAAATTAATGGTCCGCGAAACTAAAAAAGTTGGGAACCGCTGTTCTAACACCTAAATAAAGGGAAGTCCTATGACCTCCTACTCTTTTGAAATTTTGTATATTTTATATTCATTTATTTATAAATATTTCAAATATCTTAAAATTTGTAAATTAAGCATAATAATTATAAATAAAATTATTAATCAAATTTATCAAATTGTATTTATTATATACTAAAATTATAATTTAGCCCCCTCTATTTCAAGTTTCTAGCTTAAAGCTGTTTACTTAAATAATATTTAATGGCAACTTTAAATTTTAAATACTCGCTAGTTTTCCATCAACATGAATTGATGATTGTAGATGATGTGTTATAGTATTATAATTACTTACATAAATTAGTATAAACAGTGTAGTACACTATGTAAATCCTACAACACATATTAACCATAAATTATGTATAATCTTTGACGTTGTTACAAGTCTGCAACATATTATAATCAATCACGTATACCGTATTATATTCTGTGTTTAGAATTTATTTTTAGTATAGAGATCTTAATTTAGAATATTGCATTAAATCGTGTTCTACGAAGAAAAAATTATTTTAAAACTTTTTTTATCTTGGTCCTTGCTTGGCCATCAAAATGTTTTATTTTTTAAACCAATTGTACCTAATATTTAAATTTAAATGTAATATATATTGATTTACCACGATGACCCACTCTGTATAATAATATATTATGTATAAGCAAACTCTCGTCGAATTTAATTCATATATGCTTATAACACTTGCTATATATGTATGTTCATACACGTCGATGCTATTTACAGTATTATGTACTCGTACATAGGTAGTAGTTAATTGAATATAAAATATAAATTTTTTATTATGCTTACCTATAATCGGTGCCGTAAGTCGCACAGAGATACACTAATTAAATTTAACTACACATGCAGCTCGTATACAGTTTTAGCTATATTTCGACCTTTACATATAAAACAAAAATCTAATATTATGTACTTATTACTTAATTGTATACTATTATAAATAATAATTAATATTTATTCTATGCATTGTTCGTATTGGATACTTCATTTATTTAGATTACTTATTTGAATACTTTTCTTTTTTACTAAAAATTAATATACCTACCTACTAATCTGACATAATTTTTTTTTGGGAGATGTTATTTTGTACTTGTGATTTTCGTCACGACAGTTGACGAATTTTGCACCACTCTTACGATTTCAAATATTAAAATTTATCTGATAAACTTATCAATCTCTTTAATTTATAATAAATTTAACAATAAATTATGACATTCCTGACTTTTATATATTTTATTATTAAATTTAATATTATGTGTACCTGTATGTTTTTGGACTGGGTACAGATATTTTGATTTACTGACTCTAACCACAATTTTGGTTATCACTAATTATCACTACTTCTTATATTACTTTACATATTATTACTAAACAGTTAATATAGTTATACTTCATAATAAACAACGATATATTACATTTTTGGCTTAACTCAATTTATATTTTAAAAACATTTTCGACATCGTTAACGTTCAACATTGACGACAATAATAATAAAATTTACATTTATTTGACTTTTTTTTTTATTATTTGTAATTAAGTAACAAAATTAACTCATAACATAATGCGCTACTCGATATTTTTCAAATAACGTTAAAAAACAAATTTATATTTTATAAATTTCCTTTAAAGTGGAAAATATCGAGTAACGTGCTACGTTTTTATTTTATTTTACTATTTATGTATTTTTTTATAATTTACTTGATTAATGAATGATTTAAAACACATATTAATAAACTCAAAAAAATATTTTTTTTAATTATTTTAAAGAGGTATAAATTGCAATTGTTATAAGAAAAAAAATGGCAAAAATTACAATTTTCTAGTACAATATTTCTCAGATTATGTAATAAATCTTTTATCTGACGTGCTGCTTATGAAAAACTATTTATATACGAGTATGGTCAAGGATAAGTATAAATCTTGATACTTGAGAAACGATATATCAAATGATGCTATTTATTCGTTTAAATTTCTATATCAGCTGCTGAGCCACTCCCTTGAGTCACCCTCCGGACAGGTACGCTACTGCAATATAACGCAATCCTAACCTAACTCGTTGATTATTGATTAACAATAACAAAAATCGTTTAAACATATTAATATTATGAACCGTCCTTGTTCTGGCGAGGAAATAACCGACATTAGAGATGTTATAGAATAATATTACATTTTAAAAACCATACAAAACGTGTATTCATATTCGTGCATACGATTTTAAATTGGATTCTTTTGAACGGTATTTTAAACGTGTCCTTTTGTAATATTATTCAATGTATTTATTTTATTTATAATTATTTTGTATGTTATATTTAATAATTATAATTCACAATTTATTAAATTTTTTTTTTTTTTTTTAACGATCACTCGCCAAATTATTAATTCATTACCATGCAATATTTCAAACTATAACTAACTGTCACAGGCAACTAAAATCAAAAACTTAATCTAATAAGTAATTTATTACTACAATATAAAAGACCATAGTAAAATATGTTATAATAAATATTTAAAATTGACTAAAATATTTATGAGAATAATATCTGATTTTGATTAAATATTTATAAGTAACATTAATATTCTCATCCAGTAATTTCCTTGCTTAGTAAGAATAAAATATAAATTAATACATTAACTTTTAAAATATGATTTAGTATTTTATATTATAATATTCAATACAAGTTGTTACTTCTGAACTATGAGACGAACACTCGCGTATAACACAATATTTCTTAATACGTTTTTAACTTACAACAATCAATTGAGTGGGTTATACATGAATATTACAAGATTATTATTATTATTTTAACCGACGACTTTTCCAAAAATAATTTTCCCCGTAAATACGCGACAAAAATTAGCTTTTAATCATATTCTTGCATGCACTTATTATCTGATTAATTAGGTCGTTTTGCGATGAATGCAGTAATTAGTAAATATTATTGTTTAGTAATACTTCCTATAGTGTACCTAGTTTATACAATAATAATATATAGTGCATAGTTTCACATGTTTTATTTATGCCTTGTTTAGAAACAAACAAATATCATATTATTTATATGTTATAATTACAAATTTACATTGTAATTTAGTTTTAAGTCTACCTTATCAATCATTGCAATGTTTGTGTTTTTTATATAGGTAGGTGCATATTATTATACTATGTAGTACCTATAACATTTTTATTCACTTTAGTATTTCATTTTTTGTTTAATAAAATCAACTATAAAATATACTGGTATTATTATGCTCGTACAATAACACTCTTAAAGATATAGTGATCTATATCCAATTCGGTAATGATTTGCTGGATAATTGTTTACCATTTTTCTGTTATTGAATAACAGTATTATTATTTTTAGTAATAGATTTTATTTTTCATGTTATATAAACATTTTAAACATAGAAAATTTGTAGCCCAAACTTACGACGTAACAACGTGTTATAGAAATATTGTATAGCCAATACGTCTTAAAAGAGATTGGTATTTTTTGAGGAAATTATATGGCAGCTTTTTGAAAAGGTGTGAACTTATATTTTCGTTGTATGAGTGGTAAACCATAATTAGTGTGTATATTAAATGTGATTTGGAGCAGCGTATTTTTACTGTTTCAAATCTAATATACTCTAGACCAAAACCAAAAAATACAAATTAAATTCAATCATAAAAAAAAATCGAGCTAATTTGTCTCTTTTCTAGGTTATATTAAAAATTATTGGATATTTTTAAAATTGAATTGTATTAAAATCCAATGTTTAATTAATTATTGCTCATTAGTCATTACAATCGATAACCGTGTCTAATCCGTTCATTATATGTTAACTGATTGCAGCAAGCATACCATGCGACAACGGTGGTGCGACAGATGAAAAAAATGGCCTTGAACAGCGGAGCAGGAATTAGCCAGGATGCTAGAATGGACAACCAGGACTGTCTGGTCAACGGAATGACCGAATCCAACAGACTCTAAGAATTTCTCGTTTTACTTTCATATTATATTATCATGATTATTATTATTACTCTTCTAATTTTTAAATATCATTATTTTATTTTTATTTTTTTTTATTAACGAGAATAATTCTACACATATCTCTTATATTTATATATATATCAATCAAATATAAACTCTATAACCAGTACCCGTCACCTAATCAATTCGTCTATATACAAATATATTAAATCATAAAAAGAGACAATATACCATAGGTATATATTATGATATTACGTAAGTGTACTTATAAATTGTATAATTTGTAGGCGCGTATATGTATATTATATATATTATAAATTATAGTATATTAATTATTAGCATACAAAAATACGCGAACTTAATTTACTTTAAATCAAATAAATCAAATATTTTTGCTCATCATGATGACTTTGACGTTGTTTAATGAAATTTAAAAAAATATATAAAAATGTGTAGAATTATACAAATATTAACAATATTATTAAAAAAAAAAAAGACATTAGGCTAAATATATACACACACACACACACATTTATTAGTAAGTGTATTTTATTATAAATCGAAAAATACTTATTTTATGCCTTTACAACGCGCCATATCTTTTCCGTAGAATTTTTGCTTTCAATCATTCTAAATAATAATCATTGTCGATACGTATACATTTTTCGAGTAAAACGGAATCCGGCATTATTTAATATGTACATATGAAGTTTGAACACTTTATACTTCAATATACGTTGAAAACAAAAACTCAATTAATATTAATGAAAAATATAATATACTCGTATACCGTTGTACCGTTGTAAAATATTTATTCGAGAAATGATAAAATAATATAATATTATTACAAAACATTTCAACGTCTAAAAATTAGTACAGACACACACGTTATATAATAAAGTACTTTCGATTTTTGGATAATGATATTTATGAATAAGATTTTTTTTTATTTAATTCAATTTAATTTTAAATAGGTATGATATTGATAAATACAACAAAAAACACCTGCTTTTATTATATTATTATGTTTAATTGTATAATATATACAACATATTATATTATATTATCGTTCTAACGTTACATTTTGTTGTTAACTCTATTAGAACTTTAAATTATTATTATTATCATAATTACTTTTTTCAAAAAATAAAACTCACTAGCATTTACGTTATTATTATTATTAGTATTATTATCGTTGACATCGTAATAATTTTGTACTTCGGACTACTACATAATAAAATAATGACGTTAACATTAAAACTATACAATTATTTTAAGCTACCGATCGTTATACCTACTACAGTGTTGTGTGAAAAAAAAAATATGTTGAATCTTTATTTATAAAAAACTACGCTCAATGTTCATCAAATATAATATAAATCATTCAAACAGCTAAATATAAATTTTATTGTATAATAATACGCGGGTACACGGATAAATGGGCAACAAACTACATTAGATTTTCAAAAAAATACTTCGGATCGTTCTGATTATTGTTTTATGATGAATGATTATGATGATTATGACATAAGTAATTAATTGTATATGTTTCTCAAATACGTTTGCAATATGAATCTCGCTCACTACAGAAACCGATTAAAAAAACAATAATTTTATTATGATAATATTATAATGTTAAATAAATACCCATCTGCGAGCGTCAAGCATTCAAATATATAGGTACTTCCGCTCCCCCTTCAAAACTCTCGATACACTATCTGTTACCCGGACACAATCATTTCTTTTCCGTAGGCGGTTTAGGCTGATTAGCGTTGACCAATGTCGAACTACATCATTCGATTTTGAAATTCCTAACCGCGAGCGAGCGAGTGAGTCGTTTACTGCAATTATAAATATTTATCATAACAATAACCGCCTGTTAACGAAATTAACAAAATATAACACACCAATAATAATTCATCTCGTATTGTATTGTAATATTTTGACGCTTATTTCCGTGTCCTTTATTCAAAAGTCGCGTGTTTCGAATATATACATCAACATGCGAAGTGATAATATTATGTATACTATTATTTTTTTAACTATGATCACTACGTCACTATGTAGCATATTGTATAGACACACTTGATATTATAATATTATAATATAATAATGTAAAAATTTGACAACGTCTTGTTGTCGATATTTCGTTATAATTATTACTTATTATTTTTGCTACGATGACAAATTATTACCTACAAATTACAATAATATCGATTAACATTAATAAGCTGATGACCAACAATAAGAATAATAACACTATATTATATTATATTTTATTCGTATTCATATTACATGCCATTATTGTTGTTGTTGGTGTTACTATATTATTATTGTTTAGTTCGACGCGTTGTACGAGAACGCGCTTTTTATTTTACTACGCACAATATTATAACATATTTTTTATTGATTCTTTATGATTTGTATCTTACCAATTATTGCTGTTGTGATAACTCTGTTATGTATAATAATATAATATAATATTAGTATAATACGCTAGGTGGGTTTTTCTTTTCTTACCGTTTCAACGCGACCGTTTATTGTTTAACCATCCGATGAATCGCGAATAAGATACTTACGTACGTTTATCGTCATGTACTGTCATATTTTAATAAATCTCGCGTGACCATACGACATGCGTTACAGTATAATTAACTATAATTTGATCACTCAGTGGTGTGCTCAGATTTTTTGAAAAGGGTAGAAAAAGGATATATATTTTTGACTATTCTCAGACCACATTGTAACAAAAAAAAACATATTTATTCTTGCGTATACCTGCAGATGCTAGTTAATCATAATAATATTTCATTATTAATCGTGTGTCAAAAGGGATATTTATTTATTACCAATTTAACTTTAATAAAAAATTAAAAATCACAGAAAAAAATACTGAAAACACGATTGTTTTATTTTAACAATAAATTATGAGATAAAATCGATAAAATTAATAAGACGACCGCCCCCTTCCCAATAGGATGAGCACGCTACTGATAGTAATAATAACAATAATAACAAAGTTTATTTATCCATCATAAAACAACAAATAATATTATTACAATTTGATATCATTTTAATATGATGCTATTGCTTATTACCTATTTATCGTAAAACACAAAAATAATAATTGTAATCATGTCGTAAGTCACTATTAAGTTGTAATAACAATTATTAATAATAACGTAAAATTTTATCGGATCACAATACATATTATATAATACAGTCATCATAACATTATTTATGTTGTGTTTTAAAATATATTAAGTCTTATTTTTATTACATTTATTAGTAAAATTTTAATTTAATTTTTGTTATACTTTAATCATATATATATATATATATATAATTTTTTTATATGTTATAGTAATACAAATAATATATACACTCTATATACGAGTAATAATAATAATATTAATTGTTCTTCGCAACATATTTAAATGTAGTTTACAATTATTTTTTTTTCAAAAATTATTATTATATTATTTAAATTTTAGTGCAATAAATTTAGTTGACTACAAATGAGCGTATATTATTTTTCTTTGTGCCTACCTATATATCTACTAATACTTCATAATACTTATTTAGATGGCTGTTATGGATTGTGGCTACTTGTACGAAGATACTTGCAACGAAGTTTACATAAGCCTATTTTACACTAGTTTAGGTAGTTATTATCCAATGTTTTAGATTACTGGAACGAAATATACTTCAAGTTTCGGTTATATTAATATATCCATAATACATGAGCACATTAAGTATTAGAATGGATAGAATTTTGGTATTAGCCCAAATTAGTGTCGACGTATTCAACTTGTAGATAACGTGTTCTCAAATATACCTACTGAACACGACACACATGTGCACGATGAGCATCCAGCTTGATTCCGAAATAAATATACATTTAAATAAGTCGCTATTGCGTAATATTATGAGGCTTTTTCTTCATCTGACGTCAAGATCAATAAAACAGTTAAATTGTCGACTTCAAGTTTCTAATAGTAATTTGTATCTCATAGATGCTTATGTACTTGATCAAAAGTAAAAAATACATAGTACTTTTCAAAGTATTTAAGTATATTCGAGAATAACTAAAAAAAAATTATAGAAAATGAAACTATTTATGCAAAATTGATTAATTCAATAATGTTTTTTTTAGTTTTAACTCAAAGATGAATAAATATATTTATGCAATTTGTATCAAATATTTGTAGAAATGATCAAAATATTTTTATAGACAATGATAATTTTTTTTATATTATTTTGATTCATGTCAATAAAATTGTCATTTGTGAGTCAATTAAAAAATATAATTTATCAAAAAGTTTCATTAAGTAATTATTACTTATTGGCTACTTACACGAATTTTTTCAACGTCATTTCTATCTAGGCTATCTGTTACTTGCGTTGAACAATAAGCTTAATTGGTAATACTTTATACAATAATGACAAGAATTACAAATAAATACAGAAACCTCCAAATAGAACTTTTTCGTCATTAAATATTTACATATCATACGTATATGAAAAAAAATGTCGTTAATAATTTTGATTATTTTTTTTATAATTTAAAATCAATTAACTATAGAAACTTTTGAAATTATCATTAGGTGTTTACACACTGAAGTTTGTAAAATACCATTTAAACAAGTTATGTAGTTAGTGTGTAGGTGATATTTTCGTTTTTAAATTGTCGAGTTTATTATAATACCTACGTTTATTTAAAATTCAATAAGTTGCAATCAATAATTCTTTTTTTAAACTTTTTTTAACATAAATATTACATTGTTTAGGTACTAATAACTATAATATATAATTTATTAAAAAATTTAAGACGAAAGAAATTTTAAAAAATGTCATTGTAATTTATGTAAATAAAAAATAAAAAATGACATGAGGTTTTGACGAAATAAATTTTTGTCACATACAAATAATACATAATCAAGTACAAGTTACACATAGACAGGTCGTTTTATTTTTTTGCAATAACCGCTATAACGCTAAATTACAAAAATTTAAATATTATTTTTTTAAACATTTTTATTTTAAATTTTATTAAAACAATTTTCAAACGCACTATTTAAAATTATGTGTAGTATTATTATTGCTACTGCAGCATAGTCCATAGGAAGCTGCAAACCAGATAAGACACTTATTATAGTTTACAAAAAAACATATATTGTTCGGTGTATTTGTTCAGTTCTTGAGTACCCTCTAAACCGATCGAAACATGAGCGCCAAAACAAGATAAGAAAAAAATTAATCACGT